AAAACAGGATAATGAAATTTAAAAAATTACAAAAATTGTTTAAAAGTGCCTCCCTCTTGCATTAAACAATAACCCAAACGATCATAAAATCCCCTTCTCACATTGGATAACATATCAGGGGTGACAGTGTCAAAGGCATTAAATATTTTCTGTCTTAACTGCTCCAAGTTTTGAATTTCTTCATGGCCGTAAATTTTAGATTTTATGTACCACCGAGATTTTTTTTATCATTCACCGAGAAGTCAGGTGAAATTAAACGTCAGTCTAAACAAAACTGTCGTTTTTGAAAACTTGTCAAAATTTGGACACACGCTAAATGAACTTGATTTTCCTATGTCTCGAAGTCTGTAGACTTTTCTTAATAATCTCACAGTAATTTAATAGATTGCTCGTCATATTATATGAGCTCGTAGGAGATTAGAAAAAAAAAAGATATTTATAGTATAAAAAATTAATTTATTTAACAAAATTTAATTAAAGATGTGACAAAATAGTTACATTTCTATTGGTTCTATCGGACTTTTTTCGACTACATAAATCTTTATTTTTTGTAAACTTTAATGCATAAAATATTTTCAATCTAATAAATAATTTAATGATGTAAATAAGAGGAAATTTCTCATATGGGTGGTCAAATTTTATAGTTTTCATTATATCAAACAGCCTCTGAATGTTTTCTTGAGTGCAAAACTCCTAAAAATTTAATATAAATAATTTTTCCAGCCTGTAAATAAAATGAACAAATTTTTAAATACTACTTTCATCTTATAAGAAGAAATGTAACTGTTACTTTTGATTTAATTTTGTTGACCAGAGAGAAGGATGGCCGTGACCAACCACCATCTTGCAGTAACTGTCGTATGTTAAAAACGCGGGAAACGTCAAATTGTCGTTTTTGCTGGTTAAGTAGGAACTCTGTTATTGTAAGGTAGTGCCTCGATCTCTGTCCACTAGATGGCGTTACTAGATGAGTTACTAGATGATGTTACGGCTTGAGATTCAAATTCAAAATTTATTTCAAAATTATTAATTAAATGCAAATACCACTAGACAGCCCTGATTGGTAGACAAACCGTTGTTATGTAACCATTGATACAAGGTTAAGGATGACATTGGCAAACTGCCATCTATTTACCACTGTCAACCTCAAGTTGTTACAACACTTGGTTATTTTTTGCCTCCCTGTCAAGCTGTCACCTTGAACAGGTCACGTCAGTAACCAGCTTTCACCTTTCTGAAAAATGTAATCAATGACACCCACGCAAATCCACCAATAAGTACCGCCAGTAATAAAAGTCAAAATCCCAGACTAGAATTAAAAAAAGAAAGAAAGAAAAAACATTAACCATCAGACCACCTCGACAAACGAACAGTTCTCACCTTGCAAATCACTCATAATATTAAAAATGACATTGACAAAATGCCACAAATTTTGTCACTGTCAGTCTCAAGTTGTTATGTTATTGGTTTTTTCTGTGCTGCAACGAAACTGTCACTTTCGTATGAAACACATCTGTCACCACAAATTCATTATGTTTGAATTTATTAAATTCTATGGTCTTCCTAAAATACATAAACCTACCTTATCATTCAGACCGATAGTTTCATCCATAAATGCACCTAATAGTAAATTATCTGCTTTCATAACTGACATTCTCACAAGAGCGTATGACGATGACAATCAGTATTATATTAAAGACTCCTTTCAGTTTTCAGAGTTCATTAATAACTACCAACTACCTCCTGATTATGTAATAGTCAGTCTAGATGTAGTGTCTTTATATAGCAATATACCAAGGAGCCTTGTCATTGACAGCATCAAACATAGATGGCCTACCATTTCAAGACTGACTAACATACCACAAAGATTGTTTCTTGACATGTTGCGTTTCGTCTTTGATTCTACCTATTGCAAATTCAACGATCAATTCTATAAACAAATTTTCGGTACTCCGATGGGAGCTACAATCTCTCCTATCATAGCTCAATATGTAATGGACGACTTACTAAGTGAAGTCATCCCAAAACTGTCTTTCGAGTTACCTTTTGTCAAGAAATATGTCGATGATCTGATTTTATCAATACCACATAATGGTAATGACGAGATTCTGAGGGTTTTTAATAGCTATAACACGCACATTCAATTTACTATGGAAAAGGAAATTAATAGCTGGGTCCCTTTCCTAGACACAAAAGTAATAAGAAATGAAAACAACACCATCATGTTAGATTGGTATATTAAACCAACTTCTTCAGGACGATACATGAATTACAACTCGTTTCATACTGAAAAAATGAAAATTTGGTGCTTGGCTTAAAAACCAGAATCGAAAAAATATGTCACCCGACATTAAAAGGAAAAAATTTCAAACGACTTCATGACATGCTTCTTGACAACTCGTTCCCCGAATATCTTTTAAAAAAACTTATATACAATACAAGGCAAATGGTTCCAGTAGTAGACAGAAATATAAATCGAGAAGAAATGAGCTCTCAAAATAGAGAAAATGTGAATGTTTACAGATTTTCACTTCCATTAATTAAAACAGTTTCACTTAAGCTTGCCAAGGTGTTCAGAGACGAACCGAGCATTAAAATAGTAAAAGTTCTCAAAAAAGATAGGAAATCTATATAGCAGTATCAAGGACAAGGATCCAATTTAAAAAAAATCAGGGGTTGTATACAGTATTCCTTGTTCCTCTTGCGAACAGATCTATATCGGCCAAACAGCAAGGGTTCTGAAGGATAGAATAACGTCGCATAAAAGTGACTGCAGGTTGTCTAAACGTTCATGCGCTTTATCTGAGCATTTTGTAGATACAGATCATTTCCCAGAATTTTCAGATGTCAATGTAGTGTGCACAGAACGAACATTGTCTAAAAGGTTGTTCATGGAAATGGTGGAAACTCACAATAATAATAACACTCTAAATAAAAAAACTAACATTAATGAAATCACCACCATTTATTCTCATTTACTGTCCCTAGATAAAAAAGACGATAATAATGAAAGCACTAATTTAGTTAAATTAGTAAATCAATAAACTAAACATCATAACATTTCCAAGGTTTATAATTAAAAAATTATTGTTTCTTTCCTGTACACTTTCTGGATGGTGATAAGTTTTCTGCACATAATAATTTTTCATCTCTTTTTGGGTACTAAGATATAGTTACGCACTTAGACTGTAATTGAATTTTTGCATGGTTCTAAAATTCTATATTTTTATATTTTAAACTTTGAATTTAAACACAGGCTATTTTGATTGACGAGCATGTTGTGAATGACCTAACTAATAGTTACATAACATAATGAATTTGTGGTGACAGATGTGTTTCATACGAAAGTGACAGTTTCGTTGCAGCACAGAAAAAAACCAATAACATAACTACTTGAGACTGACAGTGACAAAATTTGTGGCATTTTGTCAATGTCATTCTTAATATTATGAGTGATTTGCAAGGTGAGAACTGTTCGTTTGTCGAGGTGGTCTGATGGTTAATGTTTTTTCTTTTTTTAATTCTAGTCTGGAATTTTGACTTTTATTACTGGCGGTACTTATTGGTGGATTTGCGTGGGTGTCATTGATTACATTTTTCAGAAAGGTGAAAGCTGGTTACTGACGTGACCTGTTCAAGGTGACAGCTTGACAGGGAGGCAAAAAATAACCAAGTGTTGTAACAACTTGAGGTTGACAGTGGTAAATAGATGGCAGTTTGCCAATGTCATCCTTAACCTTGTATCAATGGTTACATAACAACGGTTTGTCTACCAATCAGGGCTGTCTAGCGGTATTTGCATTTAATTAATAATTTTGAAATAAATTTTGAATTTGAATCTCAAGCCGAGAGTAACGCCATCTAGTGGACAGAGATCGAGGCACTGCCTTACAATAACAGAGTTCCTACTTAACCAGCAAAAACGACAATTTGACGTTTCCCGCGTTTTTAACATACGACAGTTACTGCAAGATGGTGGTTGGTCACGGCCATCCTTCTCTCTGGTCAACAAAATTAAATCAAAAGTAACAGTTACATTTCTTCTTATAAGATGAAAGTAGAAGAAAACTATTTTAAAAGTGTCCATCTAGACTGCATGTAATACTAGAGGTTTTTCTGTTGTGTAAAGATAGCTATACGATTTTTTCTTTTCAAACTCGCATTGCACACAAGGTAATATATTTTTTATTAATATGTATTTCAACTTAAAGTTAATATCTGTCTCCATATTGTAGCCTTGAAGAAGAAAATAAAGACTTTTCGAAAGCTTGGCAGTAGTAATAAATAGTAATAAATGAGTTTTCATTAAATTTTGCCCTTACGACAAGGCCGTTACTCCCCAATTCAAAATTTCTGGTTATATATATATATATATATATATATATATATATATATATATATATATATATATATATATATATCCTATGTGCTAAATAAATATATTTGTTCTTAATAGTTGTTTTGATTAAAAGAGAGAACCTGGTATAGCGGTCCTAGCAAACAACTTCCAGCTCGCGACATGTGGTGTCTGTGTTTTTTGTATGCAAATTTTAATTACTTTATTTTTTTTTTCACCACCACAACAATATTTAATAGTTGATTCCAGCATACATAGTTATTTATATGCTAAGTATATTATAATCTAGTTGTTGTTAGACGTATATTTATTTAAATAAGTGATTTTTCATTCTTATGATTTAATATTTTAAAGATTTTTAGGTACTATTAATATTTAGCGGCAACGCTGAGTAGTGCCATGTTTAAAAAAATTGAGTGAGATTAATGCAAAATTACTTTCTTTCGTGTGTTTAGATAATAGAGCCATAACAGGTAATAGAGCATTATTATGGCTGGAGAAAAATTAAGCTGTAAAACCAAATTGAGGCGCTGATTTCTACTTTTACAATTTCATAAGCATTCTGACATGAACGCACGTTTGTCTACCTTTTTTAACTGAAACTGCCGAATGAAAATGCAGGAGTAGGATAAGAGGATATAAATAATAAAAAATATGTACATTTTTCTAATTAAACAATAATTTTACAAAGAATAAAAATCATAAATTTCTCTTTAATTATTTATAATTATTGTTGAATTATCCAATACTCTAGTTGCAATAAGATTTTGATACCATCTAGCTGATTCCTTCCATGTTCTTGTTCTATTAGGGCTGTCATAATCTACCCTAATGATACCAAATCTGGTCCTAAAATTTAAAAATTACGAAAATTATTACTTTCGATTACAGAGTTCATTAGCTAAATTTATATTATTTAATTTAACCTAGAAAACCATACCGGATGCGTCTCGAAAGTGTCTCACCCCTAAAACGTTTTTATTTTTTCAGATGAAAAAATGATATTTGGTATGTTAGTATATGACATAAATTAGGATTGATTGACGTATTCAATTATTTTTGGTCACTTCCTGTTTTACCGGAAAAGACTACAACTTTTGATTTTTAAATAGCACCCTCGGTATATTGCTACTCTATTCGATAGAAAATGACACTCTGAATAGAATGACATATCATATGTCAATATTTGACATTTTCAGTTATAAAAGAATCGTAATTTAAATTTCAATCTAGAGTGCCATGGCTAAAAACACTATTTATAATCAAGGAGATTTGGAAAAATAGATTTGATCGTTGTCAAATGTTTATCCTAACCTTTTGTAATTTAAAATACCGTTTAATAACATATTTTGTCGTAATGAACCGTTATTTTTTTAAAGTTATAAATCATAATAGAATACTAATACCATGCCAAATAAGTGAAATTAGTCAGAAAAGATAACAATTGGCTATAACTCAGTAATTTTTAGAAAAAAAAACATAGTATAACTTATATTGCTGGAAAGCTTTAAAATGGCGCTTTTTATGAAGTTATGGCTAACTATGGATTCCATTTATAAAAATATAAGTTTCTACCGTATGATCGAAAAAAAAAACGGCGTCAGCGATGGCTATGAAATGAAGGTCGCTGTCATTTTATATGGGAAATGTCATCGATCGTCATTTCCCAGCCAATTGGAATCCGTTTTTTTTTCGATCATACGGTATCATCAAAAATGGCGGGATCTGGAAAAGAATGGAAACCACAGTCTAAGAATGCGAATATCTTCAGCTTTTAGATGAAAACTTTTTGCCAACATCTATTATAAAGGAATTAGAGAAAAACTTTAATATAGCAGAAATTTGTTTCTTTTCGAAATATTTAGTAAGCCATAAACTTTTTGAAAAATCAGAAAAGCGCATAAATTTGACCTCACAAAAATGCAATTATTCTTCTCTAGCTCCAGTAGTTTCCGAATATTTTTTTACCGTCTCTATAGCTCTGCTACTGGAGCTATTTATATTTTTTATATTATTAGAGTATTATTTTATATTCTTTGTACTTACTCATAGGTGCCCCATTCGAAATTGTCCATCAGTGACCATAATGAATATCCAATAACATTAATATTGTCTTCCAGAATAGCATCCAACAAATTTCCCAAATAAAGCTATAAAAATCCTTTAATTAGACAAAATACTATACAATTAAAGAGAACTATGATCGCGTAAGCTTTGAACTTTAATAAATAAATAAATTTAAAAAATTATTTTTATTAGATTTATTCCTATATTCCTATCCTTACATTACTATCTAAATGTGTTTATCATAAAATCTTGAAAACATACGGCACCTATATAATATATATGCTCTATGTAATAAAATGCTCTGCTTATAATTAAGGCTTGGAATCATAAAAAATATGATATATCAAATATTGAAAATTACCTTTAAATATTCAATTCTGTCTGTGTCTTCTAATCCATCTGAAGTACCTTTTCCGTTTTCAGTTATCAAAATGCTACCAGGATTATACCTAACAATTTTCAAACATTATTAATAAATACAGAAACAAAAAATATTCACGACAGTAAAACTAAAAGTGTATTAACGATTTTTTTCCGTAATATTCTCGTACTACATAATTATATAGGGTGCTACAAATTCGAGGTACGAGCATTGGTATCTCGGTAACCGTAATAGATACGAACATAGTTAAATTGGGACAAACTTGCGCTTTGGGATGTTCACCAAGATGTCATCAAAAAAGTTTTAAAAATTTCAAGGATTGCTGAGTTTTTTGGAAAACACGGATTTTTTTGAAAATCAATTTTACTTTTTTTCTGTCGTTGCTTTTTAGAAAATCAAAAACCCAATTTCATTCCTATTGCCACTTTATTAGGGCTATATGATAGTATTTTTATATTTTCAAATTAACTGCTAATTTGTGAGATACAGAGGCCAACTTATTTTTTTTTAAATACGGACCTGCATTTTTTATTTCAGGTTATGAAAGAACTCGGTCTCCTGAGTACAATGATGTGTCACACTTAGTACTTTTTTCTGTTTTGGAAATTTGAGCACAATTGATTTAAACTAATTTCAAGTCCGGCTCTGTTTTTTTTTTAAATATTTACTCTATTCATCGTTCTAATATCGAAAAGCCTTCAAACTTCATCAATCGGACTTTTTTAAGAAAATTAATTTTATTTTTCAGAAACTATTTGAGACAGAGTTTACCAAAAATGCTTTTTATATCTACTAGTGGGTAAATGAATTTGTAGATATATTACGACTTTTCTTGGAACTTTAGTTTCGGAGATATTAATTTAATCGGACCTTTTTAAGAAAATTAATTTTATTTTTCAGAAACTATTTGAGGCAGAGTTTACCAAAAATGCTTTTTATATCTACTAGTGGGTAAATGTATTTGTAGATATATTACGACTTTTCTTGGAACTTTAGTTTCGGAGATATAAATTTAATCGGAACTTTTTAAAAAAATTAATTTTATTTTTCAGAAACTATTAGAGACAGAGTTTACCAAAAATGCTTTTTATAACTACTAGTGGGTAAATGAATTTCTAGATATATTACGAATTTTTTTGGAACTTTAGTTTCGGAGATATAAATTTAATCGGACCTTTTTAAAAAAAATAATTTTATTTTTCAGAAACTATTAGACAGAGTTTACCAAAAATGCTTTTTATATCTACTAGCGGGTAAATGAATTTCTAGATATATTACGAATTTTTTTGGAACTTTAGTTTCGGAGATATATATTTAATAGGGCATTAAACTTCATCAATAACGTGAGGTAAAACATTGAATACGGAAAATCAAATGCAATAAAATAACAAAAATAATATAAAATAAATAATATGTGTGTGTGAAATCAATACATCTCATCATTTACAATAAAGAGTACAAAATGCATTAGGAATAAATAAAAGAGCTATAAATAAAATTGAACGAAAAATAAATTTGTGCAATAGGGTGGGTTATACACCTTTCGAACGTGTAGAGCACTAGAAACTAGTTAGTAAAAGTTAATTAATTTATAATAACGACGATTAATATTATGCAAATTATTAGATCGTACACTGAGATTTCAAATTCATCTTTAAATTGCTGACCTGGATATTAATTATTAGAATTTTTTAATTAATTATTGAATTGTTAATTAGCGCTGATCAATATTGTTGCGATGAATATAATCAGATTAAATAATTTAAGAAACCAGAGTCGGACTTGAAATTATTTTAAATAATAATTAAATAGTTTTGTTGTTGTTAAGGTACCCAACACAAAAAAAAGTATAAGTGTGGCATATCGTTGTACTCAGGAGACCGAGTTCTTTCAAAGCCTGATATAAAAAATGCATGTCCGTATTTAAAAAATATAAGTAGGCCTCTGTATCTCACAAATTATCAGCTAATTTGAAAATCTAAAAATACTATCAGATAGCCCTAATAAAGTGACTATGAAAATGTGCAATTATTTTTTTGATTTTCTAAAAAGTAACGACAGGAAAAAATAAAATTGATTTTCAACAAAATCCGTTTTTTTCGAAAAAACTCAGCAATCCTTGAAATTTTTAAAAAATTTTTGATGGCATCTTGGTGAACATCTCAAGGCACAACTTTGTCCCAATTTAACCATTTTCGTATCTATTACGGTTTCCGAGATACCAATGCTGGTACCTAGAATTTGTAGCACCCTGTATATCACGTCTTGAGACTGTGTCCTTGAAGCTCTACGCAATGGCAGTTATAATCAAAAAGTACCATCTCGCAAAAAGGGTTATTTAAACATATGTATACTACCAAAAGACTGAAATATCAATTTCAATAAATTTCAAGAATAGTAATTATATTTACCTTTTTTCTATCAATTAGTTGAAAACTATTTTAATGTTTTTAAATATTTATATAGAATAGCACCCTGTACAAATTCTAGGTACCAGCATTGGGATCTCGGTAAACGTAATAGACACTAGCGTGGTTAAATTTGGGCAAACTTGCGCTTTGGGATGTTCACCAAGCATTACTTGACGTCATTTGTAAAAGTGAAATCAATAATTTTCAATATTTACAATAAAGAGTACAAAATGCATTCGGAAGTATGAGAAGATATATTCAAAGAGCTATAAATAAAATTGAACGAATAATACATTTCTGCAATAGGAAGGGTGTAACCCTTTAGAACATGTAGAGCATTAGGAACTAGTTTGTAGAAGTTGATTTATTTATAATAACTACGATTATTATATGATTATGTATATTATACCCTTGTTTATATATACTGAGCAGTACACTGAGATTTCAAATTCACAATAAAATAAGTTAAAAATAGTATCTTTAAATTACTGACCTGGATATTATTTATTTGAATTTTTCAGTTGGATCGATTTTCCTTATTCAATGTTAATTCTGATCAATATTGTTGCGATAACTACAATCAAATTAAATAATTTAAAAAACCTCGGTCGGACTTAATTAGATAGTTTTGTTGTTCTTAAGGTACCCAAAACAAAAAAAAAGTATAGTGTGGCATATCATTGTACTCAAGAGACCGAGTTCTTTCAAGACCTGAAATAAAAAATGCAGGTCCGTATTCAAAAAAATTAAGTTGGATTCTACATCTCACCAATTATAAGCTAATTTGATAATCCAACAATACTCAGATAGCCTTAATAAAGTGACTATGAAAATGTGCAATTAATTTTTTGATTTTCTAAAAAGTAACGACAGGAAAAAATAAAATTGATTTTCCAAAAATCCTTTTTTTCCAAAAAACTCAGCAATCCTTGAAATAAAAAAAATGTGATGGCATCTTGGTGAACATCCCAAGGCACAACTTTGCCCCAATTTAACCATCTTCGTATCTATTACGGTTACCGAGATACCAATGCTCGTACCTCCGAATTTGTAGCAACCTGTATACATAAATTATATTTAAGAACTGAATTAAAATTGTCATTTAGTGAAAGTATTTTCCAAATTTTATGAAAATATATATGATCGTAATAAGGTTTTACTGTCGTTGACGTAATTTAACAACTTTCTGAAAGCCTGGTTATCAGAAAAATTACGATTTATGCTCGAACCAACACTCAAATCTTTTGAATATGATGGTGTACCGATTGGTTCGTCATCCTCGTATCTAACAGCATTGCTATAATACCTAAAATATCAATATACATTTTATAATTATCAATGCAGAAATGTCTGATTTTACGTGTTTAGTGCAAAGAAGTCGTGAGTTCCGTTAATATATTCTATTTCGTCTTGTGTGAAAGCAGGCAAACGAGATCGGGCTAAGTTTTCCAGCTGACTTCTATTTGCTATGCGGTCGATCATTACTTCAGGCCAGTTACCTTTAAAGATCGGATTTGCAAACCATCCAAGCTATTATAAATAATGGATTAAAAATTTGGAAGTCGTCAAATATATATATGTTTCGTGTTAAAATATTAAGATTTAAAAATATTTAAAATATTCTTAGTTTTAATATTGAACTAATATTTTATTCTTATAACAGCTTGCTTTCTTAAGTATTATAGTTATTTCAAAGATATTGATTTACATTAAACTGGAGTGATCGCTCTTGCGCTTCTAAATCCAAGAGATCGTCAGTTTCTGCATCAACCCAGCTAGATTCTAAAACTATTCCAACTTTTCCTAAAATAGTAAAAGGCCTAACAATAATGTTAATGATACGGATTCAGATTTTATGTTGAGAGTTTATGTTGTTTATGAGAGATTTACTAAGGATATGTTTTTCAAGTCTTATTTTTTTAATCTAACAGTCAAAAATCAACATATTTACAGCATAAAATATTTTTAAAAGTGAAAAATTGCAAAAAAATGTCAAAGCTAGCAAAAAATGTATACCTCTGTGGCGGATTCAGTTCTTCAAAAAAGTCCAAAAGAAAACAAGCAGACTAAACCAATGAACACTGGACGACGAACAAAAAATGTAATATAGAAAATATCATGTGAATGTGATAAATTTTATATTGGTGAAACATCTAGACCCTTAAATGTACGAATTAAAGAAAATAAAGATTATTTAATTTGGTGATTTTTACAAATTTAAGATTTGTCAGCATTCATGGGACACAGGGCACAGAGTAGATTTTAACAACGCAAAAATTATAATGAAAGAAGCGATAGCCTCTAAAAGAAAAATAAAAGAGGCTTTTTTAATACAATCTAATAAAAATAAATAGTGTATGTTGAACATCGTCATCTTAACCACAGTAGATGCATGATGAACTATCTACCCTACGACGATCGTATAAATATCTTCTAAAACACCCATGGCCAGACAATGCTTGACTTATGAAGTAATCTACTTCTCCATATTGTCTGTTTAACCATAGTTGTATGTCGTGTATTAACCTGTTAGTCCATCTGCCATATATTCCGTTATTCCATTTCTCTTGCCACTGTTGCAGCAGTTTTGACCTTGCTAGATTTTTATCCATACCATGGTATCTATCATATCGTCCGTATGAGCAGATCAATAGGCGCTATTTCAGCTATAACTCCTATAGCCTCTCCAGATACAGTTTTGTATGTGCTGCATACCCTAATAGACATAATGCCTACATAGACCTAATAGACATGTATTCTGCGTAGTATTTGCATTAGCTTGCGATTGTTTGTAACTTTATGCCATACCGGTGCAGCATACAACAGCTGCGAGTATACAACACTAGCAAGTACTCTTCTTTTGGATGCTCTAGCACCTCCTACATTTGGCATGAGTAAGGCTAAAGTGGTGACGGTTTTCTCGGCCTTGGTGATGGTTTTATTAATATGGTCCGCAAAATTCAATTTGGTATCCAGCCACACTCCTAAGTATTTTAAAGAATTACTTGGGTAAATTACAGTTCCTTGTATATAAAACTGCACCGGGGATATTTTTCTTTTTCTGGTCAGCAATACTGCTTCAGTTTTATGTGAAGCTACGGTCAACAGATTATTCTCCATCCAGTTTACAACTCTTTGGATTGCCAGTTGACGGTGTTCATCAGTACATCTTCATCCTTTGCACATGATACAATGGCAAGGTCATCTGCAAAGGCAACTAAAGTTGTTTTATCTGGCATTTCTATCCTAAGTAGTTCATCATAGAGTACGTTCCAGAGCATAGGTCCCAAGACTGATCCCTGTGGTACACCGCTATTTACCATCACAGTTTTTTGTAACTCTTCGGCGTCTATTATGATTCTTCTTTGTGATAGGTAGGATGCTATAATATCAATTAGACACTGATTTATTTTCCTCTTTTGCAGATTGTTCAATATAACTTGCCAGGAGGCGTTGTTAAATGCATTTTTAACATCAATTGTAATCATTGCACATAGTCTGCGATGCTTACTCGTGTATGCAGCAGCTTCTTCCGCTATCTGCATTACTTTAAGGATAGCATCCACAGTCTGCCTTCCTTCACGAAAGCCATATTGTGTGTCTGAGAATCCTCCTTTGCGAGCAATTTCCTCTTCCAGCTTAGTTCGTATGAGGTGTTCATACAGCTTTCCTTCTGCATCTAGGAGACTGAGTGGTCTAAAAGATGCTGGTTCGTTCAGTAATTCCCTTCCTTAGTAGTACCAGTTTGCCTATTTTCCATTCCAATGGGAATTGACTTTTCCGAGCTAATTCATTATACACCGATAGAACGTGTTCAGGTTTGTTATGAGCAGTAGCCTTTAGTACTTCCGATGCTATATTACTGGGACCAGGAGCTTTATTATTTTTAGTTTGTTGGACGCCACACACAAATCGTTAATTGTAAAATTTAAAACTTTATTATCTAAATTGTAAATATCACAGTCATATATCACATTACAACCTTTTTACATTGGTGCAAATGGTACTAACCTTGATACTGATCGCGAAACTCTTCATCGTATATTCTGTATGCTCTAGCGTGGGATTTAAGAAGAACGTAAGAACACTGATACAAACCATCACCAGGCAAGGCAAATCCAGGTGCTCCATTTCCATAACCATACCCCATAAAACAATGAATAGTGGGCTCATTGAATGTTACCCTAAATAATGAGTAGTTATAGTTTTAAATAAAACATACACAGTGACTAACTTATGTGTGTTTTACATGACATTTTACAAAACGTCATGTAATAAAATAATAAATAAATATTAATAAATGTGTTTATTATCGAAGATTTCGTAACTTTGATGTAGAGGTATTTACTTAGAATACGAAAGAAATGATTGGATTAATAATATCTTAATAATATCATGAATCATAGTAGATCGACAGCGAAACGAATATCTCGTGTTTGTGAGTGTTTTCTGCAATTCAACTAGAAATTGTAGGTTAGTGCTAAGATTTGTGCTAAGGGTGTTTCAACATTAAATTAATAGACCACCATACTGCGCTTTCGCACCAACCGCGGTGCCGTTGATTCCATATTCTCTGTCCGCCAACTACAGAAGAAAGTAAAGGAACAGCAAAGTAAACTTTATGTTGCATTCACATCGACCTAACAAAAGCCTTCGACTCTGCAAACAGAGATATACTTTGGGCAACTATGCAAAAGTTCGGAATACCGAACAAATTTCTTACAGTGTGTAAAAGCCTCCATAACTACAACAAGTCGAGAGTGTCACATCATGGATCACTGAGCGATCCCGTCCTAACAAATACAGGAGTTAGGCAGGGATATGTCTTAGCTCCTCTCCTATTCTATATCGATGGCAATGCTCTCTATTATAGTGGACAGCAAACTGCAGGAAAGCGGAATGGGTGTTAGGTATATATAGGTATGACGGCGGTCTGTTCAACATATAATAATATAACAATAAATTTAGGGCAAAAATGCGTATAAAATTCATCACAGAACTTCAATACGCTGATTTGCTCTAGTTGCAAAAACGTTACAGCAATTACCAGAAATGTTGAACACATACACCTGGGCATAGGAGGCTTTGGGCTTTAAGCTGAATATCGATAAAACTAAAATCATGTGCACTCCCTCGGAAAATCATAACAATGCTACAAAAATCGGAGAAGAACTATTGGAATATGTAGTGGAATTCAATTACCTCGGCAGTTTGATTTCGGAAAAGGCCAATATCGACTCTGAAATTCAGTACATAATTAGCAGCGCCTCACGAACATTCTGGAAATTAAAAGACAGGGTTTTCTACAGTCATGACTTGAGCACAAAAACGAAACTGGCAGTGTACCGAGCAATAATAATACCCACCATGTTGTATAGAAGCGAAACTTAGGTGCCGTACTGCCGGCACACGAACGCATTAAACAAGTCGCAACAGAGACGCCTTAGACAACTGTTAAGAATCAAATTATACCACCATGTCTCAAACGTATCAGTCCTTGAAAAAGCTAGCTGCGAAAGCGCTGAAATCATGATAACTAAATCCCACTTAAGATGGGCTGGCCACGTATGCAGGGTGCAAGAAAACCGCCTACCGAAATCTCTTCTTTTCGATGAGCTTAGGGTAAGAGGAAACCGGGTGGACAACTCAAAAGATACAACGATATTTTCCATGAAAACTTAAAGGGGATTAAGCATACAGAATCAAGTAGGGGGGGGGGGGGCAGCGCACAATAGAACGCAATGGAGAACAATTGTAAACTCAGTTAACATGACAACCAAAAAGTAAAGAGGCAACAAAGTAACGAGATCTTTGAATGCCCGGAGTGCGGAAGAGAGATAACATCACGTAACGGGCTTTTCAGTCATAGAAAAGCTCATGAAAGAAAACGCCTTGCATAACCATCTTCTATGGTATTATTTAGTATTGACGACATGGATTTAATTCAGTAGGGTGGGACAGAAACGTGATGGCCATAACATGCATATTCTCATAGCCTTGAAAAGTAATATTCTAAAGAATAACATCTATACAGGAAGGCATTGTTGTTAAAGAAGATCTTACTCCTCACCGTCTGAATTTAATGAAAAATGCATCAGAGAGGTTTGGTTTTAAGAATGAGTGGATATTTAATTAAATTGATCGAGCACGAAACAACATTGTAGCAATTTATTTTTGACTAATTTTGTAAAAGAGAGTCTATGGATATATATGTATTTTAAATATTTTTATAAAGGAATTCTTTGCGATTCCATTGTTAGTTTGTAAGGTTTATTAGTGCTGTGTTTTTGACGCCTAAATGTGTTCAGCTTATACTTTCGAAACTCTAAGAGTTTTTGAAATATACACATTTTGTCACATCTATTTTTTTTGTCACATCTACACATCTAAATTTTTAAGATAAGTACTTTAATTTAGAGTTTTCTGATGTCACTCCAGAAAATCAAATAATAATTTTATAAATTAAAACTACTTACCAATACTTAACATCAGACCCAAATGAATTGTAGCATAATCTGACATAATCTTCAAAATAATCAACAAACTGGACGTTTAAAAGACCACCCAAATCACTGATATGTTGTGGCATATCCCAATGATACAATGTTACAACTGGTTCTATGTTTTCCGCTTTCAAGGCCTAAAATTATTTGTTTGTTTTTTATGAGAACAGGTGCTTAGAAGCAGGGTTGGCATGATTTAAATCGTGATTTAAATCAAGTGATTTTTTTAGTTTTAATCATGTGATTTAAAACAAAAAAATAATTTTATTGAAACTTGATAATAAATAAAAAATTACTATAAAAGTTATAAAAATCTGTCTAAGAAAACTATAAAAAATATTTCTATAACAGATATAACAGATAGTAAATCGAAAAATAATTGTAAATTTTATTATAAAACTGTATAAAAATACCTATTCATCAATTTAAATGTTGAACCGATTTTTGAAGTAATTTTGTGTGAATTTTAAGACCGGTAAACGCAGGGATTTATTTTAAAATTTATGTATAAGTGACAAAAATTCGCTGTTCGAATACATATCATTCGCAGACTGGTGCAGAACTAGGTTCTTCTGATATAGAGACGACTATATCTTCATTCCCGAAAATCTATAATCGTTGTCAGAAAATGTATGTTGTTTTATATTTTTTTTGAAACGTTGGTATGTTTCCAAATTCTTACCGACATTTTGATTTGCAGTAAGTACTTTACACTTTGACATTAGGTGATACATAATCAAGGATAATACTAATTTCATTCTCGACTTAAGACTATTCCCGAACTAGTGTATTGTTTTATTAAGAGTAGAAATTATAGCTTTTTTGACAAATTTTTGACATTTTGAGGACCATCGTAAAGCTATTCCGACGTTACAAGGAGGCACAAAAAGTATATTTTTACTTCAAATAAAACACCATTTTTTAAAACATTACAAATAATTTTTTAATCAATTTCAAACATTGCAACTAATACAAACAGTAATCGAGAAACGATTTGTACACTCGTTGAATTTGACACCCAATATCAGTTTAATAATATATTTTTGCACTTTTGTGCTTAGGCGTAACAGTGCTTTACTTTTATGCCTAACCGTTAAAATGACAAAAATTAATACTTTAGAGACGTTTGAAAAAAAATCCTTTTGATCTGAAGGGAGCGATTTTTTTTGCGGAATATATTGGTGACCGGTGTGGAAAAATTACACGCGCCGTACAATTGTTAATGTTATCGGTATCGCTCAGAGTTATAAAGATTAAGCCATTTAGGATACGACTTTAAAGGCTGATTCATGGTACACCGGGCCGTACCCGAGCCGGGCACGTTCCGTAAAGTAGACACCGAGCCACGTCCGGGCCTTCAATATATGCTACACCGAGTGGACAACGGGGATCATGTCCGTGCCGATTATATTCTAGAAAACAGTGTTGCCGCAGTGGTACATTTGTACCAAATTTGATACTTTTAATTCTATTTGGTACAGTTGTACTACATTTTCAAATCCAGGATAATTTGGTACAATAATTATTTCCCACGCGCACCGAAAATGAATAGATATTTAATAATTATTGTCGTTGATATTGCATTAAACGCGCTTACCGATACCATTCGGAGATAATCCGCATTAATTAACGACGTATTATAAACGTTGTAATGTCCATAGCGTTGCCTATATTAAATAACCCGAAGAAAAACTTGAAAATTTACTGTTTCTAACATGCTTCTATATTTGCGTTTTTTTTTTATTAAAATTTAAGTTTTCCAAGTATTGTGTGTAGTATTAGAATTACTTAGATTTCTTCAACCTATACATACTTATAATTGGGTTTTCTGAATTTCTATTTCATGTTTTTCGTCTCGATTTGTGTCTTTCTCCAGGAAGTTTTTTATGTAGAAATTTATGAAGAAATTCACAGCGACCAAACCGGTTAAAGTCATTTGCAGATGTATTTTGTTGTGCTTTAAAAAATTGTACCAAAGTGGTACATTTTTAGTTTATGTGTGGTACGCGCTAAAAGTTGGGTGCGGCAACACTGCTAGAAAACAGTCGCTATAGGCCCGTAGGCGAACGAAGTATTTAGCCCGGGCGACTCATTTATGTTTGCCGCAACGGGGCCGGACCGTAGCGGATCCGAGGAAAAATGTACACCGACATTTCTCGGACGGGGCACGGACGCGTTCCGGCGAAGCTCGGACTGTGCTCGGCTTAGCATGAATGCATAAGTATAAATAACATTTGACAATGTTTGGCCGTGCCTTCACCGTCGCACGGCCCCGGCCCGTCACGGTGTACCATGAATCAGCCTAAAAGGCTGATTCATGGTACACCGGGCCGTACCCGAGCCGGGCACGTTCCGTAAAGTAGACACCGAGCCACGTCCGGGCCTTCAATATATGCTACACCGAGTGGACAACGGGGATCATTTCCGTGCCGATTATATTCTAGAAAAGTGTTGCCGCAGTGGTACATTTGTACCAAATTTGATACTTTTAATTCTATTTGGTACAGTGGTACTACATTTTCAAATCCAGGATAATTTGGTACAATAATTATTTCCCACGCGCACCGAAAATGAATAGATATTTAATAATTATTGTCGTTGATATTGCATTAAACGCGCTTACCGATACCATTCGGAGATAATCCGCATTAATTAACGACGTATTATAAACGTTGTAATGTCCATAGCGTTGCCTATATTAAATAACCCGAAGAAAAACTTGAAAATTTACTGTTTCTAACATGCTTCTATATTTGCGTTTTTTTTTTATTAAAATTTAAGTTTTCCAAGTATTGTGTGTAGTATTAGAATTACTTAGATTTCTTCAACCTATACATACTTATAATTGGGTTTTCTGAATTTCTATTTCATGTTTTTCGTCTCGATTTGTGTCTTTCTCCAGGAAGTTTTTTTATGTAGAAATTTATGAAGAAATTCACAGCGACCAAACCGGTTAAAGTCATTTGCAGATGTATTTTGTTGTGCTTTAAAAAATTGTACCAAAGTGGTACATTTTTAGTTTATGTGTGGTACGCGCTAAAAGTTGGGTGCGGCAACACTGCTAGAAAACAGTCGCTATAGGCCCGTAGACGAACGAAGTATTTAGCCCGGGCGACTCATTTATGTTTGCCGCAACGGGGCCGGACCGTAGCGGATCCGAGGAAAAATGTACACCGACATTTCTCGGACGGGGCACGGACGGGTTCCGGCGAAGCTCGGCCCGTGCTCGGCTTAGCATGAATGCATAGGTATAAATACCATTTGATAATGTTTGGCCGTGCCTTCACCGTCGCACGGCCCCGGCCCGTCACGGTGTACCATGAATCAGCCTTAAGGCTGATTCATGGTACACCGGGCCGTACCCGAGCCGGGCACGTTCCGTGCAGTAGACACCGGGCCACGTCCGGGCCTTCAATATATGCTACACCGAGTGGACAACGGGGATCATGTCCGTGCCGATTATATTCTAGAAAACAGTGTTGCCGCAGTGGTACATTTGTACCAAATTTGATACTTTTAATTCTATTTGGTACAGTGGTACTACATTTTCAAATCCAGGATAATTTGGTACAATAATTATTTCCCACGCGCACCGAAAATGAATAGATATTTAATAATTATTGTCGTTGATATTGCATTAAACGCGCTTACCGATACCATTCGGAGATAATCCGCATTAATTAACGACGTATTATAAACGTTGTAATGTCCATAGCGTTGCCTATATTAAATAACCCAAAGAAAAAACTTGAAAATTTACTTTTTCTAACATGCTTCTATATTTGCGTTTTTTTTTAATAAAATTTAAGTTTTCCAAGTATTGTGTGTAGTATTAGAATTACTTAGATTTCTTCAACCTATACATACTTATAATTGGATTTTCTGAATTTCTATTTCATGTTTTTCGTCTCGATTTGTGTCTTTCTCCAGGAAGTTTTTTTATGTAGAAATTTATGAAGAAATTCACAGCGACCAAACCGGTTAAAGTCATTTGCAGATGTATTTTGTTGTGCTTTAAAAAATTGTACCAAAGTGGTACATTTTTAGTTTATGTGTGGTACGCGCTAAAAGTTGGGTGCGGCAACACTGCTAGAAAACAGTCGCTATAGGCCCGTAGACGAACGAAGTATTTAGCCCGGGCGACTCATTTATGTTTGCCGCAACGGGGCCGGACCGTAGCGGATCCGAGGAAAAATGTACACCGACATTTCTCGGACGGGGCACGGACGGGTTCCGGCGAAGCTCGGCCCGTGCTCGGCTTAGCATGAATGCATAGGTATAAATAACATTTGACAATGTTTGGCCGTGCCTTCACCGTCGCACGGCCCCGGCCCGTCACGGTGTACCATGAATCAGCCTTTATTGGAAATAAGTCCTAGTCATTTGGAAATCCGATTTAAATATTGTTTTGAATTAAAATCAAAAAAATTTGATTTAAATGAAAAAAAAAAAACGATTTAAATTAAAAAAATCTGATTTTTTTGATTTATTTTAAAAAATCATGATTTTTTCCAAACCTGCTTAGAAGTAATCAATTTAATAATAAGTCGTTGTTAACTATAATATTCATATAGTTTATACAATTAGGTATTAAATTTCTAAGAAAAGCAGTATATTAAACCAATTACCTTTATAAGATTTGAATAGTAATCAATTCCCTTTTGATTAACAATATTCAGTGTTCCATTCGGCAGAATTCTTGACCAAGCAATTGAGAATCTAAGAGATAATAAATTTTAATATGTATAAGGAGTATATATGTTACGGTTAAGGTCCGATGTCCGGTTAATGTCGACATTACCCGGTTAATCTCGAGAATAACACACAACAAAACAACCAAAAACATAACCAAACTCAAACATTAACCTCTTAATGTCGACATTAACCGGATATCGGACTTTAACCGTAACATATATATTATTACAAAAAAATACAATTTTACCTATAAAATTGCAATCCGAGGTCTTTGGCATTTTGAACGTCTTCTCTCCATTTATGATAAGAATCACAGGCTACATCACCATTTTCTTCGGCATCTAATAATATAGTTATACGTTGTTATATATGTTACAGTAAAAGTTGGAAATCAGTGATTGAACAATTATCTACTGGTAAAAGCTCACATTCACTGATTGGCTAAGACTACGCCAGTAAAAGTTTAACAGCTATTTTTGAAACCAACTTTTACTATTGAATAGTGAATGCTAGCATTCCCTGGACAATAGCAGTGAGTTTGAAAGATTCAGTTAGCGTGGTTGTCACATGTTGTAAAATATAAGGATAAATAAAGATAAGTTGAATAATAGGCAATATAAGGATAACATTAAATTGGGCTAAATGTTGGCAAAGTTAACAGACATCAGGCGTAAATTCGCTTTGTTTTTTGCTGTTATGTATAATTGTTTTGTTATCGTTTTAAAAAGTGCTGTGCGGTATTTTCCCTATGGAAGAAATTTTCTGTAAAAAATTAAGGTAAACTAGGCACTCGCAAAAATGTACTACTGCTTGTTTTTCATTTTTGCAATATAATGAAGTCATAGCAAATGGTAAGCGTGCATCAGAAAAATATATTAAGGAACTGTGACTATGGGAAAGTGACTGTGAACTTATTAAACGTTTTGATATGCTTGAAGTAGCGGGCTTGAAACAACGAATAACTCCCGTTAAAAAAAGATGGGCATACTTTATTTTATCTACGATGAAGAACTTTATTAAAAAAACCTTATTGTACCAATAAGTAATCATATGTTTATGAATGTTTTTTTATTGTTTTGTACGCTTTAAACTGTTTACTATTATTTTTGTTTATTTATACAAACCCTACCAAGCTTTGAACTCCATGTACGATAATGTAGATGGAGCAGACGTGTTTACTATGTTTCCCCTTTTCCTTTTAATATTTAGAAGGTTATGTCGTTATTTTCTATAATTTTTAATAAATATACTAAAGAAGTAAATTGTAATTTTAAGATATGTGAATCAGCTTGAATATTGAAGTAATCCAATATTCTTAAAAGTTTTATTTGCTCTAACTTCCACCAACATTCTTCCTCACCACACTCGCCCTGTACAATAGAATAACTTTTCCTGGCAATCTTTAGTAAATGTTACTTTCACTAGTGAATGTTAGAAATTACTAGTGATAGTTCAATAATCGAGTACTCGAGTTTCAAGCGATTGCAATAACCGAGTGATCGCTGGATTTCGCTCGAGCGATCACTCGTATTTAAAAATACGGTTTTCACCCGCCGCTTGTTGTAAGTTAACGCCAAGCGCCAAGCAGTAAGTTGCGTGCGCAGGGCATATATTCTTTCGGTGATGAATGGCAAGTAACAAGCGGCGAGCTATTCGCTTGATCGCTTGATTTAGTTTATTTCGAAGCATTGTCGATGTAGGTCGTAAAATTTTGTCCCTCAGATACGCAACGGATAAATATATATACGGCGTCGTATAAATTTGCTACCTGCAATGTATGTAGAAAATTCGCTTGGCCTTTTATCGAGTATGTCACATTAAAATCGGATTTCAATTTATTTCATTCTAGGATCGCTTGGTACTCGTCACTTGCATCGCTCGTTCATAATCGAGCGGTGTCGGTTATTTCGATAATCGAGTACTCGAGCGATCTTTCGCTCGAGTTATCCCATCATTAGAAATTACTAGGAAAAGTCGACAAATCTCTTTAAAATACCACATTCACTTAACAATCACTGCGAACTTCCGACTTTCACTGTAACATATACACTGAATAAGAACACTCTCCCAAAAATTGTAGATAATACATCCACAAATACATCACCAAATTGAATTTTAGTTATTATTAATATTTCACACATTTATGTTTTGTTACTATTTCTTAATAAAGTATTAATAAAGTACAGAGTACGAAAATTAAAACAAGAATCATAAAAATATCATAGACAATTCACCTCGAAGTAATGGGAAAAGTGTCTCTGATTAAAAAATTCCATTCAAAAAGAAGATACCGTTATAAAGATATTATTTCTACTTAATATATTAAATAATATGATAACTTAAAAAGATATTATCTTATTAAAAATAATCAAATAACTTAAAATATTAAAACAATACTGATAAATTCTTTACATAGTTAGAAATTTCAAAACATACTACTGGTTAAATGTTTTGGAAAAGTCATATAATTATATTAATAAATATATTAGATTAAAATATTAAATAATATAAGATAAGTGTTATATGAAACAAATAAATTGCCTTTCTCACAAAGAGACCTAACTAACAAAATTTAAAGATTGAAATTTTTGCAGTTTAAAAAATGTTCATTCAAAAAATTCATAATTGACTTGAATTTAACCAAGAAAATCCACAAGAACACAATTTGAGTATCATGCACGGATGAAAAATGTCCATGTGAATATTAGAAGATTACTAGAAATATTACAAATGCAAGATCGGAATGTAAAGACATATAATCAGGAATGTATCACAGAAAAGGCAAGCTGAGAAAATGATGCAATTCCAAAAAAAATAAACCTGCGAAACTTTGAATGACTGTTCGTATATTTATTCCAGATGTTGATCGCTCACGAGCTGACCACAGAAACATAATAGGTGTAATAAAGGCTATCAAAGACGATGGTTTTTATAGACTCCGTACGGCAAATGAGGATTGGAAGTGAATTTAGATAAGACGGAATATATGTGCGTCGGCGAACGCCAAAAAAATCTCCCCCTTGAACCCCTTATGGGGGTCAATCGAACAATAGCTGATGACATAAGAATGAAACAATTAATATGGTATGGCCACGTACAGACAGATCTTCAACTGGAGACAACACACCAGCGGGACGAAGAAAACGAGGTAGACCACGCAAGAGCTGGAGAGAAGGAATAGACAATGAGGCAAAGAACGAGAGCGCGAAGATGACCTCTGGCTAAATAGGGAGCAATGGCAGCTGGGCATCGGAAAATGTTGATAGCACGTAAAACAATCGACAAGAACGCTACGCGCATATCTTCGCACGCCGCCATTTGCGTTTCCATCAACAGAAAGTAACCAGTGTCGTAGTTTTTTCAGCGACAACACACAGATTCGAGTCAGTAGCGTGCGGCTTAATTTATTTTGATTTTTTCTTGAGTGATATATTCATAGATTTAGGAAGAACAGATATCACATTATGCATTTTAACCCGATCAAACATTCGGAGGTTGACTACGTACTGTAAAAACCAACTGAGATAGAGAAGGCGACATTGCCACATATCAAATTTGCGCCTATTTACTTAGTTTGATTTGCAGAAAAGGTGACTTTAAAACCTTCACCGGATATCAATAAATCTCAATTTCTTAATTAAATTAATAGTTTATTTTTAAAGAAGCATGCGTAATAATATGTTATTAACCAGAGGATATATGCGTTACTATTAAAAGACATGTTTACTGTTTAATGTGCTGAAACGTCTAGAACTACTGGCAACGTCGCTGCTAGTCTTCCAGAATGAAACGAGCCGTCCGTCCCACCACCCCTCGCGACGGCCCATGGTTCGTTATAGCGTACTACGTTTAGCTTACGGTATGTTTGAAGTCGGAATCAAGTCCGAAGTGAACTTTTCAGTGTTTTTCAGTAGTTTTTGTTTTTGTTTAATGTACTTTTGAATCTGCGAATTTTCAATATGGTACGACAGTGTCAAATGTGTCGATAAATAAGCTCAAATTACCCGAATTTGTCTTTTCACAGGTAGGTATTGTTTCCGCCGCGCCGTAATCGTACATAGGCGTCCCACAAGGGAGCCTCTCACTATTAAAATAATTTCTAATTATATTTGTTGAATTTTGATCTATTAAAACAAGAACGTAGTAGCCGGTAATTGAATTATAATTCGTCTCAATTACTACCTAACTGTTGTAGATCATAACAAATTTGAATATAAACGTTACATTTGAAACTTTATTATAAGCCAGAAAGTGACATTTTTTTCTTAAAATTGCGTCCTATTTTGGTCATTATATACGATATTCTAAAGGAATTTTGCTCAATAAATAAACAAAGGTGTTTACTCGACCTTTTTTACATTTTATTGCTTTATTATATCTGCCCCTTCGGCCTTGTTTAGACAATTTTTTACCACCGTACAAATACATCTTCCTAGAGTTATTTGTATGGTGTGTTTAACTTTTTTTAGAATGGGACGAACTGTAAATAATTCTTAGGCTACTAGTTTTATACATACCTATATAGAGAGCGCCTCCAAAAAAGGCTTTTTACCTATTACGTTTTTGGTTTGTGATTTTTATTTCAATTTTTTACATAAGATGGGGGCACATTTTCAAAATTTTTTTGTCAACATACAGGGTGATTCAAACCGCAATACATATGCTTAATACAGTCCATGAAGATTAGGACATTTAACTAAAATTGGATCATCTGATGAAGCTACCTTTAAAAGTAATGGATTTGTAAATAAACGTAATAGGTATTCATTATTATGCGACAGAAATCCCATATCTACTGTAGCACACAGATTTTATACTTTTAATGATAAATGTCTTCTATTGCGAGACTAAAAGGCAATTGCCTCGTATCAGAGCCATCATAATACAAGAAAAAGACCGAAAGTCAAATCTTCTCTTATATTTTCAAAAAAAACACAATTTTCTCATTAAATATTGATTTTAGGTATAGGAAGTTATTAATAATACAAGATTAAACAACTATTACACAGTACTTCACAGGAAGCTATCGATTGCGAACTAACTAAATCGTTACTAATTAGGTACTAATTTTGAAAAGTTCTTTTTAAGATAAAAAAAAGGTAAAACTAAAACCTAAACTATCATTTGAGATTAAATGGGAAGTTCTAAATAATGTTGCCTATTCTAAACAAGAAAAATTTATTTATAAGTTAAGTTTTATAACATTCCTAATTAAATTTGGGCGAAAAGAATATTTCTGTTTGCTGTAGGTAATTTTCTCAGGGAAAATAGGTAAATAAAAATTACTTTTTAAGTCAAAAAAAGTCAAAAGGACAAGTTATTCGAAAAAAGACTGTCCTTTTCAAAAAAGGACAAGTGGCAACCCTAGGTATTTCTGGAATGGAAATTTAATGGCAAATCTACAACTTTGGTTTGAAAATATGTTCCGGCCACCTATGTTTACAAAAATGTCAAAAATGTGCCTAAATGCCTCCATATTCTGAAAAAAAATTGAAAGAAAAGTCACCAACCACAAACCTAATATAGAACTGTTTTGGAAGCCTGAGTCACCCTGTAAATATTCAAAAGTAACTGAAAGTTTATATAGAAGTAACTGAAAGTTTAAATTGAAAATCGACGTTGGAGTGATTTTCGAAAACTACTAACGTTTCAACATAAGTATATGTGGGATATCAATTGTATTATTATATTAGACCTTATAACAAAACGCATCTGACGAAAAAGTGTTAATGTAGTATATTAATATGAAGTAAAAATTTTACTAAATACTTTACTTTTACTTTACTAATTAAATTCATTCCAAAAAACGATACGCCACTGGCCATTAGAACAATCCCAAATGCGCCTAGTTGCCGGGGTCGGAAATTTTAGACTTCTCTGTCTCTTCTGTCCTTGTTTGACACATTGGAATGTTTGATACACTACCAACGAGTATTTATGAATGAGATGTTCGGTCTATCTTTATAATGTCTTTGGATATATTTTGTTTTTGTTGTTTTGTTTTTGTTTATTATGTGATATATTTGGTTTTTCTAGTTTTATTTTCGTTTCTTATGTAATATAATTTGTTTTAGTAGTTTTATTTTTGTTGTTCAATAAAAGTTTCTTTCTGTTTCATAGAGATCCTATTAGGTATGTACACATACAGTGCGTCTGTCCGTTCTGTAGCTACGGGGTATCCGTGAGAGGGGAAACGATATTCTCTCGATGTTTTTCGTAAAAAATTAGAGGACGCGTCCCATCAATAAAAATTCGACAAATTTGCAAGCAGCCAATAAAATGAGTGGGCGGAGCGATTTGCGGTGACGTACTCGTCAAGTCGACGTATAAAATATATTGCTGTTTATTTAAATGTTTTTTGTCCGCATCCTTTCATAGACACAGATCCAGCAGACGCACTTTATATGTGATTAATTATTTTAACATATTTTAGTTGTGAAAAAAACAGTAGTATACATATTAGGACATTCAGCTAAATAGAAAGATCTAATTAAAAATCTTAACAAACTTTAATGTTAGTAAGATTTAATGTTAACTATTTAGTGAAATTTAATGTTGTATCTAGACATTAAAAATTAAATTTAAAAATAATTGTATTTTTAATTTAAATATAATTATAAAAGTAAATAAAATGAGTATATCGAAAGTAAGTTAACAATACATTTTTAGGGCAATACAACGTTTTACATGAAGAGATTTTAATACAAATACCACAGTTTTAGTTGGCATTTCACTTTTCCAATTCAGTTGGATAACAACAAATTTACACTAAAATAAATAAAAACTGTCTCACTGTTGGGTTGGCTCCCCTACATCTGCAAATATGTCACGTCATTTCTTAAAAAATAGTGCCCGAAAATATCGTTCCACCGTGAAAAACTGTGTTTGTTGACATATCTTATCTACTTATTTATAGCTTATAAGATGAATAAATTGCCTATTGTCTACATTGAAAATAATAATATAATTTACTTTTGTTGTGGAAGAAAGTATCCCAAATGCTTGGTCCTTTACCATCTTCATTCCAAGCTCCCTCAATTTGGAATGCTGCAGTGCCAGCTCCAAACATAAAGCTTTCCGGAAATGATTTAGTAGCAAAACAGCTAAAACAGCAATTGAAAGAATAACACAAGAAACAAAACTAAACTTTCTTACCTTTGAACCAAAAAACCGAGGACAAAAAATTTAAGCAAGTAATACATTTTGGAATACATATTTAAAATTGGTTAGAATTTTTCCAAATGACCGCTTATTTATATTAATTGTTTTTTGAGGTATAAGGTACACTTTGTGATAACTTTATCAGTCAAGTATTTAAAAGTACCTTCAATGACATGCAAACTATGCATCGAAACAAAAAATAAATATAAAGAATAATATAATACAGAATTTGTTCTAGGTCAGTGGAGGGTACTGAAATCTAGATATAATCATATAGGGAAATAATCTAAACAAACACATAAAAATTTACCCATTCAAGTGGCAAATCACTGATAAATCAAGTATGTGAATTTTCCTGTATTTATGAAGAGTTCTAAGTCTAAGTGTTAAAATAATAAATTAGTTATTGGAAGGGGATATGAATAATTTGCGATTCTTGAATTTAATGAATTCATAAAAACGTGAAGATCGGACTCGTTCATATTAAGAAGAAGACGAGGTTGATCTATTATGAGGAGCATGTCTCTTAAAATAAAGAGAAATTGCCTCAAAACTTAATTAACTAGGCACAATTGGAAATATTAACATTACTGACAAGCCTCCAAACCCATTCACAGCATCCACAAAATTCAACTTCATCAAAAGTGACACACTGGTTGTACGTGGTTGTTGGATGCAATAACATTCAATAACACAACTTTCTCGAATATTCAGGTCTCCCGAAACAACATTTTATAGCTTCACAGCTTCTCAAACCGATTTGATCAAAAGCAAAAACGGACTGAAGCAGTAAAAACAGAAAGGCAAATATATTCTACTTAGTCAAATTCATAATCGTCTCAAATAATCCGACAAATGTATTAATAAATTAAACTTAAAGCGAATAAGAAATAGATAATCAAAAGAATCCATAGTATCCATAGTATCAGGTATTACCAATAAAAAAGATGGATATTTTGAATGTAAACAAATGGCAATTCGCGGAATACTGCTCTCCACTGATAAAAGGAACTATAATGTAACGGAAAGAAACGGTGTCATTTTCATAACAAAAAAATTGTCCATGTTTACAATCAGTATAGTTGCATCGTTAGTCCTTTCAAGTACATAAAATATTTTTTTACGTACCCAAATAACTGAACTGTGTATCTGAGTAACTGTGTATCTTAATAATTACAATGAAACCCCATATTACAGATGATTATGACAAAGCTGTTACCAGCCTTGAGGCCATTTTAGATAAAGCAGCCTCAACATCACACGATATTGGAGAAAGCAAGAATGCTTCAGTATTCAAAAGAAAAAGGTTGTAGTCGTACTGATCCGATAAAAAAGTGGACCTAACCATCAAGAAACTTGAAATAACAAAGACAAACACGAGAGGTCTTCATAGGTACCTACGTATACAATACATTACAGAAAAATACGAATATTATAAAAATGCCTACTTTCAATTCTTTGTGGTCTCGGAAAGAAGTCTCTTAGTCATCGCTAAAGAAGCCTGTCCAGTCAACTACAGATCAAGAACCAGAACATTTCTCATCATCTACTCCATTTCAGCAGTCGGCCTGTTCTTATAGATACTTCCCAAAATTCACCACCAGTCTTAAGTGAGGAGATTCTGAATGCATTTGTCTTCAGCGATGTTCTGTCCGAAGTTAATATGGGAAATGCCAATATTTTATGCGTTTCCCTTTGAGAGTTAATCAGGGAAGTTAAAAATTATGGTAACAGGTAAATATATTCTGCTTAGTCAAATTCATAATCGTCCCAAATAATCCGACAAATGTATTCATAAATTAAACTTAAAGCACGCCCACCCCCGTAATATTTCCAATATATTGATTATATTTTCTTCAATTTATTAGAAGTTGTCAAACTGTCAAACTTTCATATTCCGCCACAGAACTTGCTGATTTAAGTAATTCGAACGATAAGACTCAACAATTGGAAACATTACACCAAACAGCTACCGTGCAAGAACCAAATCGCCTGCAATCGGGGTGCAAGGGGTATTGAAGCGATACATATAGCTTAGCTTACCCAAAAGTCAACCTCACCTTCACGTGGTGCACCCTGTTTACACAAACGAGGCGCTGACGTCCGAGTATAGGCGGTATAACCTATATATATCCCTCGGACCCACCATCTTTCTGGGGAAGAGGAGTAGTGAACTGCTCCTAGCCGGCCGAGAACGTAGCACAAGGGAACTATCGTCGCGGTCCTCACTGTGCCATAGCCATCCCGTGCTACAGTTGCAGCCAAAACTGTGCGGCAGCGTAACCGTCATAGTTAAACCTTTTCACGCAGCTTACACACACATCAATGATGGAACATTCGAGTGGGACAAAATCATCATCCGGAGGTAAAATACCCCCTCAATCGGATCTCCGGGAGGGGGTGCCTACTCGAGCGTATCATCGGAGAAACAAAAAACATCAATGTTTCACGTTTGCGGCGTGGAACGTCCGCACTCTACTGGACAGGACAAACTCCAATCGACCAGAGAGAAGATAAATATAGATCTTAGCGAAACCCGCTTTGCGGATGAGGGTAGTCTCACTGAGGAGCATTACACCTTCTTTTGGAAGGGTCACCCCGCAACACACAGGAGAATTCATGGCGTAGGCATTGCAATCAAGAACGAAATAGCAACCAAATTAACAGAAGTACCTATTGGTGCCTCCGAACGCCTTATGACCCTAAGGTATCCCATATCAGACAAAACTTACGTCAACCTCATTAGTGCCTACGCTCCCACCCTAGACGCTAAAATTGAGGATAAGGATACATTTTACCAAACTCTACAAAATGCTCTCTAACGAATTCCGAAGAACGAACGAATTATCTTGCTAGGTGACTTTAACGCCCGTGTCGGTAAACAACAGGAAATATGGCCTGACGTATTGAGAAAACATGGTATGGGAAACGTAAATAGCAATGGTGAACGCTTATTAACAACATGCACAGAGTATAATCTTTGCATCACCAATACGTGGTTTATGTTGAAGGACAAGTTTAAAGGTACCTGGAAACATCCCAGATCAGGCCACTGGCACCAATTGGACCACGTAATCGTTCGAAGGACGCATCTAAAAGATGTTAGACTCACAAAAGCCAGAATAGATGCCGAATGCGGCACTGACCACCGACTTTTAATTTCAAAAATGAAAATCCAGTTAAAACCCAAACATCCACACTGTAAAAAGCAAAACAACATGACCAGATTGAACGTACGGGGTCTAGAGAACAACAATACCGCCGACGCCCTCCGGGAAGCCATCAAACAATCACATCCACCGATAACTTCAATCTCAATATTGGAAGCTGAACAAGGCTGGACACAATTAAGGGATGCGATTCATAAAACCAGCGAAGCTGTTCTGGGAAAGTCCAACAAAAAGAAACAACCAGACTGGTTTAACGAAAATCAACCTAATATACAGGCTTTGTTGGAACAAAAGTGTAGAGCACATCAAGCAGTTACTGCAAATCCACACAACCCAAGACTGGTAGACAACTTTAAAGCAGCCAACAACACGCTTCGGAGAAAACTACGTCAACTAAAAGATAACTGGTGGTCACAGAAAGCTAATCAGATTCAAGAGTACGCCACGCATCACGATTACCGTAAATTCTTCGAGGCTGTAAAAGAAGTATACGGCCCAACCAAGAAGGCAAGCTGCCCAATCATGGCACAAAATGGCGAACTTCTAAAAGAGGAAGAGCAAATCAGAAACCGCTGGAAAGAGCATTACAGCCATATCTTTAACCAAGAAAATAACCCCAATATGGAAGCGCTAAACACAATACCTCAGTATAACAGCCTCGATGTATTAGATATCCCAATAACAGAACAGGAAATAAAGGCCTCCATAAAACAGCTTAAAAACAACAAATCAGCTGGCTGTGACGCGATTCCGGCGGAAATCTATAAGTGTGCAAGTAAAGAACTTATTGGCCATCTTAAGGCTCTCTTCGATGTCATATGGGAAAGCGGAGAGGTACCTCAGGACTTTTGCAACGCAAATATAGTGAATATATTTAAGAACAAAGGAAGTGCATCAGACTGCGGAAACTACCGGGGAATTTCACTCTTGGCTATCGGCGGAAAAATTCTTGCAAAAATTATGTCAAACCGCCTGCACCCACAATAGAAAAAATCCTTCCATAATCGCAAAGGGGTTTTCGCACTAACCGCGGCACCGTCGATTCCATATTTTCCATCCGCCAACTACAGGAAAAAGTAAAAGAACAGCAGTCTAAACTTTATGTTGCCTTCATCGACCTAACAAAAGCCTTCGACTCTGTGAACAGAGATGCACTTTGGGCAATTATGAAAAAGTTCGGAGTACCCAACAAATTTATTACAGTGTGTAAAAGCCTCCATAACAACAACCAGTCAAGAGTGTCACATCATGGATCATTAAGCGATCCCTTCCTGACAAATACAGGAGTTAGGCAGGGATGTGTCTTAGCGCCTCCTATTCAACATATTCATGGCAGCGCTCTCCATTATAGTGGACAGCAAACTGCAGGAGAGAGGATTGGGCATTAGATACAGATATGATGGCGGTCTGTTCAACATAAAAAGACTCAGGGCAAAAACACGTACAAAATTCATCACAGAACTTCAATACGCTGACGATTGCGCTCTAGTTGCAAAAACTGTACAGCAATTACAAGAAATGTTGAACACATATACCTGGGCATACGAAGCTTTGGGCCTTAAGCTAAACATCGACAAAACTAAAATCATGTGCACTCCCCCGGAAGATCACAACAATGCTATAAAAATCGGAGAAGAGCTACTGGAATATGTAGCGGAATTCAATTATCTCGGCAGTTTGATTTCGGAAAAGGCCAATATCGACTCTGAAATTCAGCACAGGATTAGCAGCGCTTTAAGAGCATTCTGGAAATTAAAAGACAGGGTTTTTTACAACCATGACCTGAGCACAAAAACGAAACTTGCAGTGTACCGAGCAATAATAATCCCCACCATGTTATATGGGAGCGAAACCTGGGTGCCGTACCGCCGACACATGAACGCATTAAACAAGTTGCAACAGAGACA